GTCACAGTGTTCTTTTTACACATTTTCTTTTCCTCTTTACTCATATGTATCTGTACGAATTAATGACATATATTCCGTTGTAAATTTTTGCCAATAATCTTGTAATAACTCACTTCGTCTTTTTATAATTTGTATATAACTTAGTTATTTGTTCTTATAATTCGTTGCATACATCAATCATTGCTATTGTGTGTAAATTATATCATCAATTTAATTTCTAAGTATTATTTTACTGCACTTTTTATTGCACTACTTTTCGTATGTTATTGTTGAAATTTATAACATAATATTTTCAGACTTAGCGCAGTTTACAAGTAGGTAATAATTTCTATAGTCACTGTAATTACCTTTATCCGAAGCTCGTAGGACCATATTACTCTTTACGCCGATGATACCTGCCTATTTTACTTTGGTTCATCAATACACGACATAATGTCGCAGGCTCAAGACGATTTAAACACCCTATATGATTGGTTTCAATATAACTTATTAACCATAAACATTTCAAAAACTTGTTACATTTTATTTAGGGCCAAAAATAAATTCATTCCTCTCCACTCTCTGCTTATAATTAACAATATTCCCTTAGAAATGAAAACTCATGAAAAATACCTTGGTTTAAACATTGACACTCATTTAACATGGAAGCACCACATCGAACACATAAAAACGAAACTGGTGTCACTTTGTGGTTGTCTTCGTCATATTGCCCGATGCATTCCTAATAAATTACGTCTCACATTATATAACACGCTAATAAAGCCACATTTAACCTACCTCGTCGAAGTCTGGGGGAATGCAGTAAAGACAAGGATAAGTGAACTTCAAATTTTACAAAATAAACTCGTTAAAGTGCTCTTTAGTTATCACTTTTTAACAAAAACCAAAAAAAAAATCTATAATGAAACAAAAATATTTAATATTAAAAAAATGTATATATACAATACTTGCATTTTTATAAGAAAATCTCTAAATAATGGTAATCATACTAGCTTAGAATTCGTAAAACGTAAGAAGGTTTACAACCGCTGCTGCTCTCGTCACGCGAGACTCACTTAAATAATCGTGAATCCGTTGCGCGGGTGAAGTGTGTGTATTTTTGGTGAATTTAATTTGGTGAACGACTGTGGAATTTACTTTCAGTTTTGTACTCATGTAAGTGACATGCATTTGTCTTAATACCTAAATATCTTTAAGCCTAACCTAATTAAAGTTTTGATGTGGATTTTGATAGGTAAAATAAAAGTTATGCAATTTTATGTAATATGTCTACGCATGTGACTAATAGTGGAAATGATGAAACAACTACTCCAAAGTTTTTGAACTTATTTTTTTTTTAATAAAGAATATAGTTATTCTTTATACATGACACTGGCAAACGTTTAACTGCACGAGTCTTATTTATTACCAATACAAACTCAAGAATTTATATTACCATCGTAGCCTCATCAGAGCAGTATTTAAAACCAATTTTTATCAAAAAAAAACAACTACATACCACTTATGATCATAACCTAGTATTGCCAGCTAATTAAAAAAAATCCGCTGATATATGTTTTATAGATTTTCATCAGACGTTGATTTACGAATATTTTATGGATTGTTGTTTTCGAACTCTAGAATTGGTTATCACCAAAATATGTGAGGATTTGTTCGCGACATTTCAGCGCTGATAGTGAACTCATAGGTTTAAGTTTAAAGTTCCAAGGCATCAATTTTTGATATAAGAGGTGCAATTCGAGCATGCGGCTTACCTGATGGTAAGTGTCGACCGCCGCCCATGAACAACTGAAACACCAGTGGAATTGCAGGTGCGTTGCCTGCCTTTTAAAAAGGAGTAAGCTCGTTTCTTGAATGTCCCTAAGTCGTATCGGTCCGGAAAAATCGCCGGTGGTAAACAATTACACAACAAACACAGTTTTGTCGCGATGTGCGTTGGTGAAATTTGGCTTCTGGAATTAATTCCAACTCGTGGTAAATGCGATAAAAATGGAAAGGGTAGCAATATCTCTTCGCAGCGCCAGTGAATCGAGCCGACCAGACAGAACTCGGTCGTCGACGATTCGAGCCTTTCTGCGCTAAAAAGGAGCTCGCATTGGCAAGCCCCAGGCCAGAGATGAGAACAGTTTTCCATGTGAGGCCAAACCTGCGTCTTCTAAAGTTGCAGTGCGCCGGCATGGAATACTGTCCCGCTCTGCTGAGCACGCCGATGAGAGGCATTCTAGAGGCCAATTTAGCCTTGTCTTTCATGTGACCACGAAACTGCACGTCATTCGATATGTCGACGCTGCATTTTCCGTTGCTGGCTGAGGCAATGATTGGCGTGCCCTGAAATTGAGGAGATATGACAAAAGGATTCTTTTTAGCGGTAAACGTTCAGACTTGTGTCCGTGGGATTGAACTGGACTAGATTTAATCGCCCCCAATGCGAGACTTTGTTCAACAAAGCCTCGACTTCAAACATCAGTTTTTTTTGGTACTCGGTAACGTTTTCCCGAGAAATGTTAGCACAGCCGGTGTACTAAGCATCACCAGTGCTGTCAACCGCATAGCAATGGATGTTACTGGTTTGCAACATATCATTGATAGGTAGAAGAAACGACGTAGGTGATAGGACACAGCCTTGTATTAGGCTTTTAATCAGAGTATGCACCATCTACTACGACCTTGACTGCTCTGCAAGAAAATTGCTGATCCAATTGCACGACTTCTCGGGAAGCCCATAGGAAGGAAGCTTATGTCTATTTGTCTGTGTCTTCACAATTCACGCAAAAAGGACTGGGCAGATTTTGATAAAATTTTGTACGAATGTAGCTAGTGACCCGGAGCTACTTATAGGCTACTATTTATTCGATTACGGAACTTTAGAAAGGAGGGTTAAGTGTTTTACTTCCTTTAGATGTTAATTCTCTATTATATATGATTATGTTAGTTATAAGCATGATAATGTGTTTCTTTTAAATAAATACCATATTTATAAATAAAGATTAAAATTAGTTTTAACAATTATGTGATAATTTGAAACTACGTCGACGATTTATGTTGTATGTTTCGAAAACAGCGTATCTCGTAACTGGTATCATGAAATGAAAAATGTATACATATAATCCAAATGGAACATGAACTTTATAGTTGTAGCACGAATGGGTCGGCTCGACCAGGGTAGAACCACGCTCTCACAGAATATCAGCGTAAAATAGCAGCTTAACACTGCTGTGTTTCGTATGGTGAGTGTAGAGAACCGGAGACCCTTTTTACTGGAAAAGAGGCATTCCATCTTAGTCCTCACGGGTGACAACGCAACTGCATTTTGATTCGCAAACGAGAATAGATGTAGATGTCTATGGGCCACAGCAACCACTTACCATTAGGTGGACTGTGTGCTCGTTTGTCACCCTATCGCTTAAAAAAATCCGACACCTACTTTCCTTTTATTGCTAAGATAAGCATCAATATGTAACGTGTAATAATAATATACATATACATACCTATATTATGGGATATTATAGCACAGAAATTATAGACGTAGATGACACAGTCAATAATAAACAGATTTTACTTCCACTGAATGTGCAGCCCGCGTCACACAGCGGTGCTCATATACTTTAGGGTTGCCAACCGTCCTGTTTTCCCAGGACATGTCTCAGTTTTTTAGTATCCTGGGATGTCCTGGATAGTTTTTAAACAATGTCCTGGGTTTTTAAAGCGCCCTGATAATGTCATGTATTTTAAAATTCGCGCACGACGTTTTAATTTTGTTATGTATGGTATCTTATGAATCTAGTTACATATTATAAAAAGTGAAAACGAACCGATACTTGCATACATAGTACAAACATTTGCCACGATGTCGGTTCGGTTCGGTTCGCCGTTATGTTTGACAAGGCCTTTACTGCGTCCTGTTTTTAAACTGAATTGTCCTGATTTTTCAAATTTCAAATCCTAGTTTTTTAAATTTGGGGTTGGCAACCCTAATTTACTTGTATGAAACAAACCCGCACGCGAGATCACGCGCCGGGTTACCGTCGAGAAAACCCGTCCCACGCGCCGCGTGCAACGCGTAGTGTTTCTATATAGTTTGTGGCCGCGTGTACCGTGTAGCGAGCAGCCGGCACGACGCGACGTGCTCTTGAATTTTGAAGAAACAGAAACACATTTTTGAGAGTAGTTTAAATATACTACTACTGACTAAATTATTGTCATAGCGGTATTTGACCAAAATTTAGTCTGACGGACTAGAGACTATGTTATATGGAAAAAATGAAATAAATAAAACACGATATAACAATTTATATTTTAATAAAAAATGGCTTAAAGCTATTTATGAGCAAATATGTACGAATTCCACTTACATTAGGAACAATCACAGTTAATATAACTACCCCTTAAAAGTAATAGTAATCCCGTACTATGCTAATTTCACTTATACAAACACCATGTACTAAGTGATATGTGTAATCTATAGGTATAGTGTTAGAGTAGTTACATACACACGTAAGGTATACTATGTAAAACACATTGATTATATACTTTTTGGGTATATGTATGTATATAACATGAATGTTAAAAGGGCAGTGTTATTATGAAACAAATTGACGTGAACTTTAAAATGAAATAGATTTTTGTACAATTCCATTGAAAAGTATTTCACGTTCTACTTTAAAGATCCACTCTGTTTTCACATCATATCACCATACCTATAGGTTTTAAGTATTATCATATAATATCACAATATGTAATGCCATATTCAATGACACATTTAAAACACTATAAAAAAATCTAAGCAAGTATTTAAAACATACGCTAAAATTTATTAGTCTTAAGATTAGTTCTTTTAATTAATTATTTCTTGATGTACTCGTCATATTCATATTATAAATACGCACGCTTTCATTTTTGGTATTCCACAACAAAACTATTATTTTATGTGTCATTCAGTCTTCAATTCCGTTTAGACATTTAATTTAGTTGTATTTAATTAAACTATATCATAATTTCAGTTATTGTATTTTCATAAATGCTTCTTTTTCATATACTAATATTTTATTCCGCGTAATAGTTTTATTTTTATTTTTTAATCGAATTAAAGAAGGAACAAATTTGTGAATGATTTTGTGATCATACATTCGTCTCGATATTAGGAAGCATCCAAAAAGGAGCGTCAATATAAAAATAACCTTCGACATTGGTGGCAACACCACCACCATAAAATAAATAGTCAATCTTATTATCGTCGGTAGACCTTCTTGACTCTGAAATAAAAGTTTTAAGAACATATAATTTGACATATCGCTATGCTTTCTCATTCTTTCAACTTCATCCACATATTAAAGATATCTATGAGTCACACTTGCCAGTATCCACTTGCCATCAGGTAAACTGTGTGCTCGTCTGTTACCCTTATTCTATAAAAATAAAAGAAAGCTCCCTAACGGAACGAAAGCCTTTTTGCATTTCCCATAATCACCACTTACGACTCCCACCAGTTGAAATGGGACGCTGGATACATTTAAGCCACCACACTGTGACATCACAATATACATCAAATTTAATATTGATGATACATAATAGTAAACAACCACTATCAACGCGAAATTGGCCTCTTCCTTACTAGGAAGGATTTGCCTTAATTTCATGGACGTAGAGAGGGGAAAGTAGGAATTAAAGGCCATCCACTTGACTACGAGCATTGCATAACATGCCGGACACAGTCCTTTTCCAAATCACACAAGCCGTGGCACGTAAGTCTAGCGCTGAACGAAACGTAGAGGGGACGCGCACGAAATTAATTGCACGAAATCGACTGGAGAACCAATCAGTGCATGCGAATGATACGCACGAGCCAATCAGCGCGACTTTTGCGCAATAACGGTCACCGCTAGACTTTCGTGCCGCTACTTATACATCTAAAGATGCTGCCTTTTCAACACAGTAATATCCTAAAAAAATATTTTGATTGATATTCTATATCTGTAAAAATAAATGACACAAACACTCACGTATTCTGCCCAAAACAATGGTATAATTTGATTCGAAAATCTGTCGTAATCTTTGGGAAAATTTGAGAGATCGTGGATCCGAAGGTTGCTTTGCATTCTTGCTACAGCACGGAATGGTACACCAGTCAACTGAAAAGGGTATTTTTATAGTTTGATTATCTTACTCGTATAAGCCGTTGTCTATGAACGCCTACTGCCGGACGAATTTATTGTGCCGTAGGTCTTGCAATAAAATACAATCGTATAACTTTGAATCGTGGTTGGTGTCGTTGTCGAAATACAGGATTACCGTCTACTAGATGAAGTGAAAACCTGGTAAGACATGCAGGAAGTCGATGGATAACGTATTTTTTAAAAGAAAAATCATATATGATCGGATACACACTACGAACATTATAAAATGTATTTAAAATTTCACTCACCGGTTCTACTACAACGTAGGAGTTATGTTTCTGCCGATCTGGGGTGAGACCTGTGACGTAGTGGTCCTTTGGAGGCGAACCCGTATAGAAATGCGGGTACGACACAACCATTGGGAAGCCTAAAACATACAAAAGTAATTAATTGGTGTTATAAAGATTTGTGATGACTTAATAGAAGTCCAAAAAGAAAATATAAAATCCATTTTGGTGTAAAAACGTTAGTTAGACCTAATAACAAGTGAATGCAGTGTCTCAAAGACAGATGCGTTATCACAACTGAATACTAAGGAAGAATGCCTTGTTAAGCAGCACAATAATCTACGGCGTTAATATACTTTGCGGAAATCCATTATATTAAATACTAGCTTTTTACCCGCGGCTTCGCTCGCGTGCGCTTGAATTTAGGGACGTCATTAAATGCTGTTCCGTGTCAAATTTAGAAATATTCGATCACTTTTAGAGTCACCTTGGTGTCTATGTGTCTATGTCTGTCAGAGATTTTTTTTCATTCTAAAATACTATTAGACGTAGATGATTGGTAACATGCTACAGAAACACGTGAATATACTTATAATATGTCTAGAAACTCCTACTATTTTTTATATATGGCGTGTCTTCCGATTCCGATGTATCCATAAGAAAGGTAAATAGTTTTGAAATCAAAATGTATTATTATTATTTACATTTTACTCTTTACATATATATATATTCATAGTTAAAGTAAATTTAGTTTTAACAAAGTAATATAATATTTATTTGAGACATTTTATTCATATCATTGGTCCTATTTAATATTGATTGGCACCATAAAAAGATATAGATATTTTTATTTACTTCGAGTAGACTTGAAAATTTCATAAATACAGTTCTATAATAATGAATACCACACATGGATTAAAACTAATGTTACGGGTTTTTTACGCATCTTGACTCCTCGCCGAATGAAAGCACCGAAGCTCCGGGAAGTCTAAAGTATGTAAACATGTTTAGTATCGTCCCAACCATTATATACAACAAATCCTTGCAATAGAACACCGAATCCTACCAATGATGATTCGCGAGGCTATTGAAATTAAAAATATCCTAATTTTAATAGGGAAGATGGCTGAGTGCTACTATCTGCTAAGGACTCCATGATTAATAAAATTAAATTCAAACTACTACTGCATTTTAACCTTCTATTTTAACTATGACATCAGGTCATCAAACACCTCAGTTCTCCCTCCCCTCCCGTGACCATGGGTGCTGTAAATTGCCCAAATCATCGGGAATTTAAAAAGTTAAAATTAAATGCGATAAAATCCTTAAAATTACTTTTATTCCTTATAAATTTTATACACAGTGAACGTGAGGAACACTACACTCATGAACGGGAGTAGAAAAATGTTCGCACTGTTGTGGCGGTGAAAGAATATCCAACACATCATATCGTCCCGTCGTAAGAGGCGACATAGGAAAAAAATAGTAGATGGGATGATCTGCATTATCTTCTTGACAACAGATCAAAATAGTAATAGCTGCGGTTGCCAACCCGCTCCTATAGCAAATATCCAGCTACTTGACAATTCATGGGGAGGCCAATGTTCATTTCAGTGGACTTTTGATAGGCTGACGATAATGAGTTCTACTCATCTTTGCAAGCCTTAATATTTACGGTAGAGTGAAAACATAAATTATCATACCCGAAAACACGAATGAAATAAAAACTGCATATATTGCCCCATGAAAAGTAAAACAGCTTACATACATGCTACTACTGGGCACAGGCTGTAGAGTTTTTGACCAAAAAAGAGTCCGCTGCACTGATTCCAACGCGGGATGAACGTAATGTAAATGATTCAATTGTTTACATCGTATATTCAGTAGCATTGTATTATTTCATTTTATAAATGTCTTGCCATTTTAATTTATTTAGAAGTAAGTAGGTGGCGCTAATATTACATGAAATAATGAAAGCCAAAAGTATATCATCTAGTAATATCAGCAATAGAAACGAACATTTATTTATTATATCAATAAGGGATAAAGTGATGTCAATTCTCTTAAAAGTTCTGTTTCTGTTAAACATAAGCATCAGCGCCGCTAGCGGTGAAAAACGATAATGATATCGTCATATGACCATATTATGAAATAGCAACGTTGTGTTTAGTTACTAATAACTTCAAAAGATTTCTATTCATTGATTTGTCAAGCTATATCATGACACGGTCATCAAATAGTGTTAAATACACATTCATTTCAGTCATTTTTTCAGTGTTTTCACGAAATGATAGACTACTTTATTATATATGATCAATTCTACGATCTGGCCACGACATACATAAAAATCTCTTTAATAAAACTATGATGATAATGAAAATTTTGCAACAATTGCAGACAGACCAGTTTTTATCACTTTACATATATATTAGTAATTGAAATAAATACCTTATCAATTTCCATATTTTTGATAGATGTCACTATTATCTATTGACATTATTACACTTTTAAAATAAAATAACAAAAATACTAAAAAACTGAACGTTAAAATTTTTTAATAATTTTAAAAATCTAATAATTTAATCATATAAATGTAAGTTATTTATATTATTTCATTTATTAGTAACTGAAGGCAAAATATACAACTTTTTCCATTTGATGATAGATGGTGCTTTTTATCAATACGAAATCGGTATAGTTTCAAATTATTTTACCAAGATTATTACTATATTTTAACTTTATTTACAAATATGGTAATATGGTATTTATATGAAAAACACCCGTCGTTCCGCCTATAACTAAGATACAACAGAAAATTAACACCTAAAGGAAATTAATATACTTAACCTTCCTTTTTTGAAGTTACGTAATCGGATATAAAGTAGCCTATAAGTTGCCCCGGGTTATTGACTACCTACATACAAAATTTCATGTAAATCCGTTCAGTAGTTTTTGCGTGAATCCGGAATACACAGACAGACAGACAGACAGACAGACAGAAAGACAGACAGACAGACAGACAGACAGACAGACAGACAGACAAAAATTCTAAAAACTACTAATTTGGCTTCAGAGCCCTTTATTTAGTCCCCTTGACTTGTTTTTTCAAGAATATATTAGAATTACAGACACGACTTTTCTACAGATTTATTATATGTATAGATTATGTAAAAAATTAATCAGCTAATAAGACCCGCATAAAAATGATGTTTGTGTCTTACCTAGTTTGAAGAGCACCTCACTGAGCACTCGCAATCGCAAGGGAGGGTGGGAGGTGCTCTTCGAACTACGTAAAACACATCTTTTTTTTACGCGGATGTTAGCTACTTAGAAAAAGAACAAACAAGCAAAAAAAATTATTAATTTCTTTTGTCAGAAGCCCTCGCGGGCACGCACATAGCGCTCACTAAATATGCACTGTAGTTGGATGAATGGTATACGAGCAAGTAGGTACGGGACAAAAAAAATTACCTTCATTTTTATATAATACAGATAATATTCAAAATTTTACCGAAATAACATTTCGACGCATCGCTCAGCCCAGAAGGAAGAGAAGGCACAGTATCATAACAGTCGGTACCGTTGGTCACCCTCTCGAAGACGACTTCCGATAAATTATATCGATATACTGGTACGTTGTCAATCACTATTTCGCCTGGAAATGAATTATAAAATCTTATGATTTATAGGTCAGTGAGTAAATCTCTTACGCCGCCACTACACGGCGGAATAATATTACCCCGTATCAACCCGTGGGTGTTGTACGTGGTCAGAAGTATTAGTCTGTTCGCTCGCCACGGTCGCCTTTGTATCGCACCGCCTTAGCACATGCTACATCTTGTCAAAGGCGTTAAGGCGCCGCCGCGACTTCAAAGATCACCGCGTTCGGCGTAAACCCGCAGGAGAATTTGGCATTTTAACCACTCAAGCGTCGACATTAACCACTACCAACTTAGTCAGATCTATGGTCAAGCCAAAGAGTATATTAGCTCAGGCCGAAGACAATATTTTTTTTAAAATGAAGGTAATATAACTTAGAGTCATTACTATGTTCTCATCCAAAAATTATCAACAATTAAAATATCGCATTATTTGTATGAAGGTCAAGTGAGCGCAAGAGAAACGACGACATAGGCCTCCCCCATAGATTGCCTCATAGGAGGGTTTTGGTATCGTTGCCGCGCTTGGCAGGCGGATTGACAACCGCAGTTTTTAATTATTTTGAGTTGTTATCAGGAAGATGCTCCTGCGCATTAGCTGTTTCGAGTAGTGTAGTGGCGGTCTAAGACTACCCACTACCACATATCATCCCGTGATCCAGATTCCTGATCCCGTGGGTGTCGTAAGAAGCGATAGTAGAAAGTCGAAACAGGTGATGCGCAGCAGCATCTTCCTGATAATAACTCAAAATACTAATCGCAACAATACCAAAACCCAAAGCAATAGACTTTTATAGGCTGTAATAGATGTATGGATGGATGGATATATTGATGCTAGTTAAAAATATCGATACGATATTTTATTTATATCAATATTTTTTTTTTCTTGTTCATCAATAGCTGGGCGAACTAATAACATTAGTTTCTAAACATGTATGGCGCATGGCAACCATCAATTCAGTCTAAATCTCTAGGTCAGAATTAAATAAAATACACACAAATATTTGTAGGAAAATATTCTATTAACAATTGCTATATTTGTTTAATGGTACCCAAATTAGTCAGTACAAAGATAAATGATAGATATTTTGATTTATGTTTATTTTTGTATCGGTATTTTTGCATATGTCCCGTTCGTACTGTCCGATTTCGCTATCATGGACGTTGGACATCAATACAATTTACTAAAAACGAAATTAGTTATTCATCTAACCTATACCTACCTTGGTAACTTTTATCCTTCTACCTACAGTAGGATTCCGATTATCCGAACATCGATTATCCGGACTCATTCGTCACGGCTTTAATTGCCGATTTAAAAATGTTTTGACGGCGCAACGAGACAACGAGTTTATTCCCGCCTCCGACTGTGTACTCTCGCTCACCCGTTCTCATGTTTGTGCGATAGTGTTTTCTTCTTGTTGTCTTGGTTCTTTTTTATTTTTATTTACGCAATAGCGTTGGAAATCTAAAATGTCCAAGCGAAAAAGAGTAGTGTTGTCTCTTAAAGACAAAGTGAATATAATTGAGAGTATAAAAAACAGTGAATCTGGCAGTAAGTTGGGAAAAGAGGGCGATGTATTGTTGTTGTTAGATAATGCGCCAACGCACCCTTCCGCTGAAACACTAAGTCGAGAAAATAGGAAGTTTACAGTTAAGTTTCTGCCCCCTAACGTAACATTGATTTTGCAACATATGGACCAAAGTGTCATTGAAACTTTAAAGCGGTTATACAGAAACTGCGTCGTCTTTTATTAGCAGGCAACAGTGAAATAGAAACGATGGTAAAGTTTTTTAAGGAAATTAATTTAAAAGATTCTTGTTATTTGCTGGTAGAAGCGTGGAACTCTGTGGAATCGCAAACATTAAAATGGGTATGGAATAAATTATTGAAATTAACTCCATATAATCCTTCAATTATACCGCACGACGATTTCGACGAAATAACGGGAACAATGAAAATTCTTAGCATTGGTGAAGGGTGTGATGAAGAGAATATCAAAGAGTGGCTGGTGTGCGATAGTGAAGACCCTGGATTCCAAATATTAACTGATGAAGAAATCATTGACGATTTGAATAGTAACGAGAGAGAAGACGAAGAAGCGACTGAAACTGGAGATGTTTGTCAAGTACCATACCAGACCATACCATACCAGAGTTCTGAGTGCTTTTAAGTGGTTTGAAAGACAGGACGAATCGGATCCCATACAGTTGTTACAACTGAAGCGCATCAGGGACTTGGGTGCAATGAAAAAATGAAAAGATGTGATTCATTCATGTGATCAATAATAAGTTATTTCCAATCAAAATTTTAAATTACATACATATAATGTAGGTACATATTATGTACTTCATTATCGTTATAGCTCGTATTTTTTTATATCGTATTGTCTAAACGACGTAAGTAAAGCCCATTACATAATAAAAATTGACTAAAATTTAAATATTGTTTGATTTGACTTTGAAATCGATTATCTGGATTTTCGAATACGGAATACACCTGGTTTTATTTGATCCGGATAATCGGGATTCTACTGTACCTTGTTACGGTACACTGACTGATAGCCTAGGTTAGGTGAAATTCTTATATTTCAGAAATAATTATTAGGAAGGTACTTATAACATGGTCACGTAGTTAAGGTAAGGAAGGTAATAAAAAATCGACTATTGAAATAAAAACTAATACTAAATCTAAAATGCATATATAAAGTCACGTTATAAGTCGTTCTAATGTTCCGAGTAGTTATCCAACTTTATCAATGTCACAAAGTCACGATGATTTTTGGTAACCGGAAATAACCCCAAGTCTAATCTCCTCTTACGGGACCCACGGGATGGTATAGATATTCATACACCGCCATTACACGGTAATTGATAACTTCTCAAAATATTTTATTTATGGACGTCTTGCAATCGTCGTTTCTTTTGCGCTCACTTGACCTTGCCAATACTTTTTTAAATACATTGTTCCCTATTATCTCGGTCGCCACTTTGTGCAGTGTTTTAAATATGGTTAATATAAATTTTAACTTTCAAAATTATTAATATAATAATAATAACAAATTTACTATATTTTATTTTATCTTATATTTTATGCCCTTGTGGTTGAAAATGATCATTATTTGCCGTGAAATATTTTTATATTATTACTTTTAAAGGTTGCACTTCTACCGCATGTGAATTGCACACATGTTTTTTTTTTATTTCTCTTACTTTTTTATTAGCGTTAACGATTGTAGAAATTCAGCTTAGCTAATCCTGTAAAACTAAAAAAATTCAAGAGTAATCCTTTTTCTCTGTAAAATACCCACTTTCAAAATACAGTGGCATGAGTTTGCATACGGTCTTCCTCCAATACAATAAGACGTCCTGTCTAGTTAAATACTGGTGATACATCACTCCTTCTGTGGAACCAAAAAGACGATCTGGACAGACCTGTTGAAAAAAAAATATTGTTTTAATTATTTTAAATTAAAGTTAGAGTTAAGCACACAATTCACCTGATGGTAAGTTGATACTGTGGCCCATTGAAACCATTAAGACTCCCATTATTTAATCTATCAACTTATGAAAATTCGCAGCTACACGTAAGCTCCCTGAGTGTGAACAATTGTTTTGTTAAATAATGACTACACTTAGTGAAACATCAGTGATTCATTCATGATCATCGTTACAACCCTTTAGAAGTCCACTGCTGAACATAGACCTCCCCCAAGGAATGCCACAAAGCACGGTCCTGAGTCACCTGCATCCATCGACTTCCTGCATGTCTTGCTAGGTCGTCACTCCATCTAGAGGGGAGCCACACTACACTTCGCTTACCGGTACGAGGCTGCCACTCGAGTACCTTTTTTCCCCATCGGTTGTCGATTCTTCGAGCTATATGGCCGGCCCATTGTTACTTCAGCTTACTGATCCGTTGGGCTATGTCGGTCACTCTGGTTCTACTGCGGATATCCTCATTTCTGAGTTTATCACACAGTTAAATCCTGAGCATAGCCCTGTCCATAGCTCGCTGAGCAGCCTTGAGCTTCCTCATACGGAAACACTGGTAACGCGCACTGGTTGTACAGTCTTGTTTTCAGGGTTTGAGGTACACCTGACGAGAAGATGTGGCGTAATGTCCCTAACGCTGCCCAGCCGAGTTGAATCCCTCGATTGACCTCTCGATCGAAGTTGGACTTTTTTTTTTTTATAGAATAGGGGGCAAACGCGCTTGCGGCTCACCTGATGGTAAGTGACTACCGCCGCCCATGAACAACCGCAACACCAGGGGAATTGCAGATGCGTTGCCGGCCTTTTAGAAAGGTGTAAGCTCTTTTCTTGGAGGTTCCTAAGTCGTATCGGTTCGGAATATTCGCTGGTGGTAATTGATTCCACAAAGAAGTTGTGCTAGGGAGAAAACTTCTTCTAAATCGCACAGTGGTGGACCGCCAATCATCCAGATGGTACGGATGGTAACGCGACTTTTGTCGCGACGTGCGAAGGTGAAATTGAGCGGCTGGAATTAGTCCGAACAATTCCTCAGAGCACTCCCCGTGATAGATGCGATAAAATACGCAAAGAGATGCAACATCTCTACGCAGTGCCAGTGTATCGAGCTGATCGGAAAGAACTCGGTCGTCGACGATTCGAATCGCTCTGCGCTGGATGCGGTCAAGTGGAAGGAGCTGGCACTGGGGTGCCCCGGCCCAGAGATGAGAACAGTATTCCATGTGGGGCCGAACTTGCGCTTTGTAAAGTTGCAAGCGATGTGCCGGCATGAAATACTGTCTCGCTCTGCTGAGCACGCCAAGCTTTTTAGAGGCCAATTTGGCCTTCCCTTCCAAGTGACCACGAAACTGCACGCTATTCGATATGTCGACGCCAAGGATTCCGATACTGGCTGAGGCAGCAAGGGGAGTGCCTTGAAACTGAGGAGATACGACAAAGGGGTTCTTTTTAGCGGTAAACGCGCAAAATTGTGTCTTCTGGGGATTGAACTGGACTACATTTAGTCGGCCCTAATCCGAGACTTTGTTAAGCAAAGACTCGACTTCAGACACAAGTTTGTCCCGGTACTCGGCGACGTTTTCCCGAGAAATATTGGCACGGCCGGTATATAAGGCATCCCCAGTGCTGTCGTCTGCATAGCAATGAATGCTACCAGTTAGCAACATATCATTGATATGCAGGAGAAACAGCGTTGGTGATAGCACGCAGCCTTGTGGAACACCAGCGTTGATAGGCTTGTAATCAGAGCATGCACCGTCTACTACGACCTTGATGCTCCGATCAGCAAGGAAACTGGTGATCCATTTGCACAATTTCTCGGGAAGCCCATAGGAAGGAAGCTTCGAAAGAAGTGCCTTGTGCCAGACCCGATCGAAGGCCTTCGCTATGTCCAAACTAACGGCCAATGCCTTCCCCTTGGACTCTACTGCCACCGCCCATCTATGAGTTAAGTAAACTAGAAGATCACCCGCTGATCGACCCCGACGAAAACCGCACTGACGGTCACTAATCAGCTGGTGATCTTCAAGGTACCTCATGAGCTGGCAGTTTATAATGGATTCCATTATTTTGGAGAACAAGGAGGTGATAGCGATAGGCCTGTAGTTGGACGGGTCTGAGCGGTCGCCGTTTTTAGGGGTCGGGTGGACCAAAGCTGTCTTCCATGAATTCGGGACTACGCCTTGGGAGTAGGAGTACCGGAAAAGACGCGTTAAAACCGGTGCCAACTCCGGAGCACACGTCTTCAGCACAATGGGAGGGACTCCATCGGGCCCACTCGACTTGCTGACGTCCAGGGAGAAGAGTGCTTTGCGAACCGAGCGCTGTGTAAATCGCACATCCGGCATGGAGCACTCACATCGCGGGATGGTCGGCGGTGTGTTCCCCCCGTCATCTAGAGTCGAGTTAGACGCAAAAAGAGAGCACAACAGATCGGCTTTCTCTTTTGCGGCATGGGCCAGTGAGTCGTCCTCTCTGTGCAGAGATGGAAGGGATGGCTGACAGAAGTTCCCTTGGACAGCCTTGGCGAGAGACCAGAATGCACGGGTTCCCGAAGGAAGGCGAACTAGCTTCTCGCCAATTCTGCCGATGTGCTCAGACCTTGCCTTGGCAATGACGCTTTTGAAGGACCTGGAGGCGGAATTATACTTCTTTTTAAGTGCGCTGGTGTTTAAATCCCGAGACGTTGATGCATCAGCCCAGGCCCGGTAGCACACCTGCTTATAGCGTGATGCTATTTTACAGGAGCGACCAAACCATGGCTGGGATCTGCCTCCGATGGGCACCACAGAGGATGGAATAGAAAGTTCCATACCCTGAAGTACCACATCAGTAACAGAATCGGCAACAACGCTGGGATCTTCCGGCGAGAAGCAAACCCGCTCCCAAGGGTAGGATGCAAAAAAAGACCGCATCCCGTCCCAATCAGCTGACCTATAGTGCCAAACACGGCGGCAAGCTGCAGATCGCAACTGCGATTGGAGCGTGAGTGGCACCGTGCTCCGGATCAGACAATGGTCCGAAGAGCCCAGAGGGGCATCGACGGAGACCTGATATCCGTCGGGATGAGAGGTAAGCAGAAGGTCCAACAGGGAAGGTACATGGTCTTCCACATCTGGGATCCGCGTAGGCGAAGTAACCAGTTGTGTTAGACCATATGCCAAAGCAAAGTCGTATACAGATCTACCCGCATGATCGGTTAAACGAGAACCAAGCCATTCAGCGTGGTGGGCGTTGAAATCACCGAGTATCACGATCTCTGCGGATAGGACCTGTTGTAGCACGGAGTCTGCAGCCATTTGGACGTGGTCGATGAGTCGGTCTGTGTCGGCATTACCGCTATGGGACCTATAGAGGCACCCGTAGACGCGGGGATGATCGTCGCTGTCTACGCGCAGCCATAGGATGGACAGGTCCGTACCTTCAAGGCTGCCGAGGCGTCGAAAACAGATGTCCTCTCTGACGTATACACAAACTCCAGCCCGGGGCACAAAGGAGTGTTCCAATTTGTATCCCGGGTAGGAGAGATATGAAGTATCAGCCGGAGAGGACACCTGAGTCTCGGTTAAAAAGAGCAAGGCCGGCTTCGCCGTCTCTAGATGGTAATGGACAGCGTTAAGGTTGGAATGAAGTCCCCTGATGTTGCAAAAATTCACGGATAGCGTGACAGGGTTGTATTTCGTGTGTTCGCCTTGGTTGTATTTCTCCGCTTGCCCCGAGCAGCATTAGTCACGAGCGGAATTTCGCCCCCCAGAATACGCGGGGCAGCCTGAGCACCCACGCTCAGGAGTGAAGTAGTTTGGTCGTGGATGCTCAGCGAGGGATTCTCCAGGGGTGCTGGTACCCTCCTGGGGTAGTCTTGTATTTAATTCCACTACCATGTTGATGGGGGGGGGGGGGGGGGATTGGGCCTCCGGCCACCTGCACTCACCAAGCGCAACGCAGAGGTAAACCTCTACTTCACGCTGGTATTCTGTGAGGTCGTGGTACCACCCCGGTTCGAGCTGGCCCATCCGTGCGACAGCAAAAGCTACCGCTTAGCTCTACCACTGTTAAAACTTACTTACCTAGTCGGACTGTTTGTCCCAGGTAAACATACTCGTCAACAACTTCGAGCTTAGTGCTCCCAACAACTACCGGCATAGGTGTGACATGGAAGTTGTTGTCCATGTTTATTTTAAGACCTATCCGTTGAGAGGCACTATTGAGGTCATTGAGCGTAGTGCTTAGGTCCTCCAGCGATTCTGTCATAAGAACAGTATCGTCGGCAAATCGGAGGTCAGTGATACTTGCCATTGATGTTAATACCGTATCCTTTTCAGTCCAGCAGCTTTACGTCTTCCAATGCAGCGGTGAAGAGTTTCGGGGATATAACGTCACCAAGTCTTACACCTCTCTGCAGTTGGATAGGTTTCGTACTCTATTGCTTTACGCTATTGTGTTTCGTAGGCTGAGTGTAGAGAACCGGAGACTCTTTTTACTGGAAATGAGGCATTCCATCTTAGTCCTCACAGGTGACAAAGCATCTTCATTTTGATTCGTAGTCGAGGATAGATGTCTACATCTGTCTATGGGCCACAACAACCACTTACCATGTTGCTACCCATATTCTATAAAATATATTTTTCATATTAATTCACTATAGTTTTTGAGATTGTGAATCAATAACAGCACATATCTATTGTGTAGTACTTCGAACATGATAACGCAAGATCTCACACTGTTCGACAAACCGTTTTAACATTGTAAGATCAGAACTTAAAAACCATACGCCATCCTTCATACTAGCCAGACCTAGCCCCAACCAATTACCATTTTTTGCGTAATTTGAACGATTTCCAGCAAGTAAAAAAATGTCGTACTCAGTGAGTAGTACCTGGACCTTTTAGCGGTACAATACCTTTATAGATTTTGTAGAGTTCAGATCCCCAGGTAAATAGTTTGATTACGTAAAGATATTGTTGTTAGAGATCAAGGTGTTTTAATTTTTCTATATAACGGCAATGTAATACTTTAACGCCTAATATATAAGTAATTAAAAGTATACTTACATCGGGATTATATCCAGGCAACTGTGGTTGTCCACGGAAGCGGTCTATTTGAAAGAAACTGCTGTGTCCCCATTCTGATCCTATTTTGACTGTAACTTCGTCCGTGAAGTCATTATAAACCTGGAAATGTACATGAGAAAATTTAATAGACGACAATATTTTTGCTAAATATTTAATAAGTGTGCGCAATGCAATTTGCAGAAACAAAACTGTGGACGGTAAAAAGTTTTTAACTACGTACTGACAAGTAGAGCCCGCAGCATGGCTAAGGATAATGTTTTGAGACAGCCTTTGCTTATGTTTAACAATGAACTTGGGACAGTGTAATGTACTAGCCCACACCTTCATGGCAGAATACGTCACCCATTCCATCTTAATCCTCAGTTCGTTGGAAATAAATAAAGACATAGGGAAGGTAAAACGTAGAAACATAAAACCAATCTAATAATATGCGGTGACCGTATTAGAATGTTGTATGTTTCTATACAACCTATTTAATCCGGTTTGTAGATTGCACAACCAGTGCGTGTTGCCAGTGATGACATGGATCTGTGACGTGGTCCTTCACTGCTGGCCATATGAGGGAGCTCAATGTCACTCAGCGATCTATGGAGAGGCCTATGTCCGAGCATAGCCCTCTCCATAGCTCGCTGGGTGACCTTTCGCAGCGTGATAAACTTAGAAATGAGGATATCCGCAGTGGAACCAGAGTGACCGACATAGCCCAATGGATTAGTAAGCTGAAGTGGCAATGGGCCAGCCATATAGGTCGAAGAACCGACAACCGATGGGGAAAAACGTTCTCGAGGGGCAGCCTCGTACCGGTAGGCGAAGTGTAGAGCGACCCCCCACTAGATGGAGTGACGACCTGGTAAGACATGCAGGAAGTCGATGGATGCAGGTAGCTTAAGACCGTGCTTTGTGGCATTCGTTGGGGGAGGCCTATGTTCAGCAGTGGTCTTATGAAAAGCTGTAATGATGATGATGGTGATGAGGTTTCTATAAACACCTCTTCTTCACCACCAACCCGTAACAGTCCACTGCAAAACACTGACCTCTACTTATAGCTGAAAGGGTTTACTGTGAGCGGGGATTGACAGTCGCAGAGAGAGACTTCTCTCACGTTTGACACCGTTTGCCGATGCTGGTGTAGGTAATTTAAAATAGGATACAACGATGTCAATCACAGCGGAAAAGAACTTTCGCCATTCACAAATAATCACCTAATATATTTAAATTGGATGGAGAGACTCCCACTAAAACTGCGGTTGACAACCCGCCTGCCAAGCATGGCAACTATGACAGAATCCTCCCTATGAAACAATCTATGGGAGAGGCCCAGTGGGCTTTTAAGCTGTAATGGATGGATAGATGAGTTGACCCCTCTAAATGGAGTGAAGACCTAGTAAGACATGCAGGCAGTCGATGGTTACAGGTGGCTCAGGACCGTGCTTTGTGGCATTACTTGAGGGAGGCCTATGTTTTTTTTTATAGAATTAGGGTGACAAACGAGCACACAGTCCACCTGATGGTAAGTGGTTGCTGTGGCCCATAGACATGTGCATGTGTTCGTTTGCGAATTAAAATGCAAATGCGTTGTCAGCCTTGAGGACTAAGATAGAATGCCTCTTTTCTAGTAAAATGGGTTTCCGGTTCTCTACACTCACCATACGAAACACAGCACCATTAAGCTGCTATTTTACGCTGGTATTCTGTGAGAGCGTGGTCCTTCCCCGGTCGAGCCGACCCATTCGTGCTACAACTATACTATTAATATAGCTGCAGCAGGGCTCTACCATGTAAAAATACCACGTAATGTTCAGTAGTGGACGCGTAATGGGCTGTAATAATGAGGATGTGATATTTAATTTAATTTAAAATTCTACGTTACCTCTGATGATAGTATTTATACTGATATGTGATAATTTAAAGAAATTAATATTAAAACACATCTATTAAAACAAGCTTTTATTGGAATCCTTTAAAAAGAAGAAAATAAACTTTTCAATTATAATAAACTCATCAATGTAATTACATTACACAATTTATATGATACAAAAGCTTGCCGCGATGCTTAAAATTAAAAATGTTTTTTTTTACTATCAATTTATTTTTTATTTTTTACTTATTACTTGATATGTTTTAAGTCTGTTTAATTTAATTTAATGCGGTTTTTGATCGCCATCTTGAACCCACCATCTTGATTTTTTATTGCCAGCAGTTGACCCTTGTCGGTCCCTACAGCGTTTGTTCGAGCACCACCAAACTATCCCTAACCTTTGCCGAGTTATAACTCTTTAAAATTGGTATGGCGGCTATCTTTTTATCCGCCATTTTGAATTTTTGCACCACCGCTAATATATGTTCACGTTGTAGGCCGATATTAGTTAAGACGCGACCCCGCTAAGTCTTACCGTTTAGTCGGGGAGTAGTACAGCATCTCCTCGAAGAGCTGGACGCAGACGTCATTTTATTCGTATTCTTCTCAGCGAACCCTTTCATTTGATATCCATATTATGGGGTGAATTAAAAAAAACATAGTCTGCCATCGTTGAGAGTCCACCATATTGGATTTAGAGTGACGTCATTTTATTTTCGTATTTTTTTCAGCAACCCTTTCATTTGATACCCATCTTGAGCTGTCCGCCATATTGAATTTAGTATGACGTCACTTAGCTAACCATGCATTGTCATTTAAAATGTATTTCAGCTCTTTCGGTTGAGGATAACTGCTTTAAAATTCAGCTGCAAGATTTGACCCTAACAAACATACCTACATTGCAAGTTAAATATAAGCTTTTAAAAAAAACTTACTCTTGTCAAAAAACCCATGTTATCCACGGGAACTATGCTAGGGACTATGTTTCGAGAAGTCGCCAATACAGGATCTCTATAGTCCCACAAATACTCATACAACGTCTTCTTGACGAAGAACTCACTCCCGTGAGTATTAACTAAAAGTCTAAAAGCTGTCCGCACGAAGTAGTTGGAGTCATGTAGATAAGATGCCATGCCCTGAAAAATATAAGTAAAATCATTTTTTTATCAATCATTTGTTATGTTATCTTGGCAAATATCAACCACGGCGTAATCCAAATACAAAGTTATTTTTCAAAGAGACCAAATTTTAAACTTATGTTCAAATATATAAATAATGATATATCGTTATTTCAGTTATTGAAAATACGAGTAAATAAGGCTTCTACTTTTATTTGAAATTATCCCAAATTGAATGTGATGTATGGGTAACAACTACGCGTACGCACGCTCCTCTGTGTGCGATTCAATTCACAACGTTTTTGCCGACTGATCGACCCTTAACGTATGTGTGCGTGCGTAGTAAAATAGTAAGCGTTAGAGATTTATGAATGACAAAAAGATAAAAAGGACAAAATGTTTGAAATTTTTATAACAATTTGTCTTCACCATTTGCCTATATTACTTATTCTGAATTTTTTCTGCAAATTTGGCTGGTTATTGCAAAATAACCCTGTATAATCGGATGTTATCAACTGTTTTTGCACACCTCAAACACGAAGCGACGCCTGACGCGATTGACTATTTTTACTTATTAACCCCCGACGCAAACAGAGGGGTGTTATATATTTAACGTGTATAACTGTATATCTGTGTGTCTATCTGTGGCATCGTAGCTCCAAAACGAGTGAACCGATTTGGATTTAGTTTTTTTTTGTTTAAAGGTGATTTCATCGAGTATGTGCTTAGCTTTGATTCAAGAAAATGTTTTCAGCCGTTTGAAGATCATCAAACTCTCTTTTGAAGCTCTTTTTGTTTCCGGGGTTTTTAAAATTTTCAATTTAATAATATTGGCTTAAAGCCAAACCTTGACTACAATCCTACCTGGCATAGAATACAGCAGTGCATGCTGTACTCCGGTCTGAAGGGTAAAGAAAGTCAGTATATTTATAGAATGTGAAACATTACATCTTAGGCCCGTATTAATAAACGTTACTCAACGACGAACTCAAGTGCGTAATCATTTGATACGCCCTCATTACGATATCAGCATCTCAAGATCGTTGCTAATTAATAAACACATAAAAACGGTATCTCAAAACGCTGTACTTAGGAATACTGTTCTGTGACTTGCACTCAAGTACACACACTTGAGAGTCGAGTTTCGTTTATTAATCAGAGTGGCACTCAGCTGATATCGTAAACCTAAACCGCATCTTGAGATACATTAAATAATAAGATCATAGCCTGAAGATTGTACTCAAGTGCGTGTACTTGAGCTGAGTAACGTTTATTAAAACGGGCCTTAATCCTTAAAGGTGACAAGGCATCTGTAGTCTTCTTTACGCTACGGTAGCCGCTTACGATTAGATGATCTGTATGTTTTTGTCACTTTAATTTTATGAAAATAAAATATATCATTTAATGTAACTTTCCATTAGCGTGAATCATTACAGAAAGCCAAGTTTTTTACATAAGATAAGGGTGATAAACAAGCCTACAGTCCATCTAATAGTAAGTGGATTCGATGTGCTTTATAGACATTTACATTATCTTTTTTTTTATAGTATAGGGTGACAAGCCAGCACACAGTCGACCTGATGGTAAGCTGGTTGCTGTGCCCCATATCCATCTACATCTATCCTCTATAAAGAATCAAAATGCAGATGCGTTGTCAGCCGTGAGGACTAAGATAGAATTGCCTCATTTTCCAGTAAAAAAGATCTCCGGTTCTTTACACTCACCATAAGAAACACAGCAGTGTTAAGCTGCTATTTTACGCTGGTATTGTGTGAAAGCGTGGTCCTTCCTGGTCAAGCCGACCCATTCGTGCTACAACTATACTACTAATATAGCTGCAGCATGGCTCTACCACGTATAATAATCCTCGATTATGAATAAAAATGCATTTGCGTTGTCACCCCTAAAGACTAAAATGGAATGCCTCGTTTTCTATAAAAAGAGTCTCCGGTTCTCGAGTCTCCCACGTTTATAAAGTTGATGCGATAAGGTTGAAGATTCTCACTCTAATCTAGCTTCAGCTACACGGTATAGTTACAGCACTGGATTTGACCAAAAACAATTTGTGTTTTTGCATAAATGTTGCCTTCGATTTCGATATCCAATTTTATATTTGACATATCAGGTAGGTACCTTAGCTACTAGGTAGCCACTGCTTGGTTTGGTTCCGTCAGGAAATGAAGATTTATCGAAAACCATTAATTGATATTAATAATTACGACGTTTTTCTTATTACATAATTCCAAAACGCGAAGCAATTAATATTATCCGTCGCCACTGGCTAACTAGTAATTTTTACGGGTTACTATATTTTTAACGCTCTTAAGTCTTAAGTAAAATTATTTTGTTGCCCTGGCCCTGACTTAGTGCAGAGGTCATGAACTAACGATTTTAAGCATAGGACCGTCCCAGGCTTTCACAACTTTTGTTTTTAGTCGAAGTACCTTCAAACTCTGGAAGTACGATTTATAATTTTTACATAAGAAATACTTAAAAAATCACCAATTTCAATGATTTTTGTAATCCTTAATGTATCTGGGAAAGATGTCTATAAAATGTATCAGTTATAATTTTACTCGGAAAATGTTACAGATATTAACTGTCCTACTTTTCTGTACAAGAAGGTCATTGGGGCAGGTTTTAACCTCTAGATTCTAGGTCTCGTAGAAATAATTAGTTTCCTCAATTACTTAGTATAGATACGATTAATAACTACTTCAGTATTTATACTAAGTAATAACATATACATAAAGATTAAAACTAAACAGTGAATTAATCATACATAATTTGTAAGTACTGCTTTCCTGTAATAACTTGAAAATATTTTTTCCTTGTGCGTTACTTGTACGTACATTTAAAAAAAAATTGGGTTGTTAACCGAAACAAAAAGGAGACTTCAAACCAGAGTGATCTTGATGTATGGAGCTTCAATTATTTAGAGCGTCAATCTACAGTGGACTACGGAAGATTTTAATTTAGATATTTTTGGTAATACTTTAAATAATAATTTAAAATTAAAAATTTTGTACAGCCGACTTCAATATAAGTTATTAAGAATAACTCAAAAACTATTAGTCTGACCTTAATCAAATTCATATAGGACACGACACGAGAAATACCAGCTTTCAAATAAAAAAAGAATCATCGAAATCGGTTCACCCAGTAAAAAGTTATGAGGTAACACACATAAAAAAACATACAGTCGAATTGAGTACCGTTTCCTTTTTGGAAGTCGGCAGAAAAAGAAAACAGATCACAATAATAAATAAAACATATCAGTTCCATTACGTTCTGCCTAATATAGGCGTGCAAATTTTAAATAAATATTTATTACAATTTTTTTTAGTATCTATTAATGTTACTTTTTTAATATAATATAAAAATGTCCAAATAATAATGAACAATAATGAAATAAATATTAAAAAATTAAGTTCGAAAAACAATGTCACATAATCGATTACAAATTTAGCATTATCAAAATATTAATTTTCATATATTTTATATATAAATGCAGTAAAAATAACCAACTAATAATTATTCTATAACTATTAAAGTCTTATTTTATTTACTCACAGGAAAAGTATCAAGCAATTTCGATTATTTAGATATTCATTTGTTTTGATTTTTATAATCAAGTTATTCATATATATGTAACAATGCCAATTACTTACCAAGACAGCTATATTAGGAAGGATGATAGTAGAATTCAAATCGTGAATGTTCTCATCAGGCAAATAGATTAGAAATCTTTTGGCCGTGTACGTCAGCGTATTGTTTTCATTAAATCTGATGCTGGAGTGTTGGAGTTTCTCTCTGAAATGGAATGTTAAGATCAGTGATAATTTTAATAGATATCAAAATAAAACTGGATTTCTTGTATAGGACTGGGAGAATGGACTGGTCGAGACGTGTCTATGCCAAGCGTTACCGCGTCGCGTTTGGCTGCGGCGATACAGGCCGCGGTTTGAATCTCGCATAAAACAACTATTTATGTACTATTACCCATATATTTAATTACTGGATTTTGTATATTTGTCGATTTCTTTAATAAAATTAAGGTGTCAAACGAACTTATGATCCACGTAAGTGTAAGTGGCTACTTCAGCCCATGGATATTTGCCATCTTCGAACAAAGAAGCCAAAGATCCTTTGTCGCCTCTTGAGGACTACAATGGAATGCCTATACTGGCTCTCTATATCGTTCAGGCCGATATACAGGAGTGCTGGCACTGCTATTTGGCGGTAGAAATAGATAAGAGTGTGTACCTACTTAGATGGACACCTAGGTAGAAAAAAGTTCTACCATTTATAAAATTGCAATTCATGTGTAATGTTAAACGTATCTACGATTCAAGGCAATTCTTGTCGCATTTTAGTTCAATATAAACACTACAAATCAGCTTCTATGGCTAAAGTAATTAAGTCTTTTTTAATTACGTACAAAAAGTTTACCTTGGCAGGAATGTAAAGGAAGCAAAACTATTGTAGGTTGTTTTTAAAATAACTTATTGCTTATTACTTAAATATTCCTACTCCTTCGTTCAGTAAAGGGCGAAGATCACACAGGCAGACCATGTGACATATTCCATACAGTTTCTCATAATATACTAGCTTTTCAGGCACACGTCGTTCTACCTGCTCCAAGGACCTTTCTCCTATAAAAAATACTTAAAACCGCAACAAAAAATATTGATGGTGACATATCGGGATAAAAATTTCTCTGAAATTGAAACAAGCAATACACATTTATAAAAAAAATGCGTGAGTGTCGTGGAACATTCGGTTGGAACGAAGTTCCTTTAGTAGTATATTATTATTGATAAACGTATTGTTACGAGCTTGGGGTTCGAGACAATTAAAAAAATGCCAAGTGTATTGCCAAAATTCACCCTTTGATTACACCGCTAATTACAACTTAAAACCACACTAATAACAAAACACAATTGTACTACTGATCACTTTAGTTCGCAGTTGTATTGCTTCGAAGTATTCGCTTGAATCGCCAACTCAATAGTGACTGGGTCGCGGTCTATACCGGCCTTATACGCCAAATTAATCACCGATGCACATAGGTCAACTTGACAAATTAAACAAAACAATAACGTAAGAGACAGCCATATTTCTCATTTAAGTAACTTAGAAAGTGCCAACAAAATGTAAACCAAAGGAGAATTGACTTTTATTTAAATCGGCACAAATAAGGTTACCTAATTTTAGCCTTCTTTTTCACAAAGCAAAATGATTAAACACTATCACAAAACATATACATAATTTTCCAAATAGGGCGACATTCAATTTCAAATGAATTCATATTTTCTTTTCAGCAAACAGACGCAACAATCAAACACAGTGATTAAATATATTTACAAAACATATGCAGCCGCATTTAAAGGAGTAGATTAAATTCAATTCTTTTAATCACAACCGCTACAAATAGGAAAATTTCGCGGAAAGCCCAAAGAATTTTTAACTAAGTGCTCGACCAAACCAATCTAATAACCCTTGACAGCGTGATTCAACGCTCCAGGGGGGCCCTAATCTTCCCACCACCAAGGAGAGGCCACACGGCGTGAACCCGAGACCAATAGAGCGCGTAATTACCGGCTTCAGATAATTTCCAGATCGTTCCACTATAGAAACATCTAGAATGTTCGAGTGCATAACGGTCCCGACCGACTGACGATAGGTCTAGAAAGTGCTTCCATGGAAATTTCTAGAAGAATCTTGACACTCCTAGTTCTGCTACTCGATACTAGAGGGTGCTAGTGGAACTAGTGTTACGTCATTGATCTTTGTCACAATCCGGTACGGTCCATCCCATTTAGCTTGAAGCTTAGCAGATTTTCCTTTGCTGCTAACTGGATTGTGTAACCACACTAGTGAACCTTCGTCAAACCCTTTGTTGTTCATTTTGCGGTTATAGCGGGTTTTCATATTTTCAGACATTTGCTGACGTGCTAATAAATGTCATTCATTTTGTTCAGCACGTCATTTGTATAATCGGTTATACTGCTTAGGACACCAGTTGGTATTCCGGTGATCAGGTCTGCAGGCAGCTGTAATTCTCTTTCAAAGTTTGTAAAAGCTCGTGTCACTGATGTACTTTCATGAACATCGATTCGATATGATAGCAGAAACGGTTGTATGTGCTTGTTTCAGTCTCGTTGCGGATTTTCCACAACTTTTGCTAGGTACCTCTCCAATGTCTGATTAAATAGTTCTACCATTCCATCAGATTGTATGTGGTAAGAAGTTGTTCTTGTTTTATGAGTACCCATAACTTAGCAAGTTTCCTGGAATATTTGAGACTCAAAATTCCTTCCTTAATCGCTGTGAATCTCTAAGGGTACTTCAAAACGATAGAAGACGTCAGGGACTAGTTTATCTGCAACTGTTGAAACTTCTTGATTTGGAATGGCGGAGACTTCTGGCCACTTTCTGAAGTAATCCATCACCAACATGAAATACTTGTTACCACTTTCACTTTCCGGAAACGGCCCCGCAACGTCAAGATCTATATGTCCCATGGTGCACCAACATTGTACAATTTTAATGTACTTCTACTACGAATCTGAGGTCCCTTTACAGCCGTACAACTTGTACATTTGCGACACCAGTCCTCGACATCGTCACGAAAGTGGACCCAGTAAAACCGTTCTTAGATCTTCAGTAGAGTTCGTTTAACTCCCAGATGGCCTCCTGAACAACCATTATGATACAGATTTAGAACATCAGGTACTCTAGTTCATCCGTTCTAGAATCAGCTTGATGTCCGAATCTTCCTGCTGTGCGTGTTGCAGGCTATCCTTCCACTCATTGCTGAGCTGGTCTGTCCTGAGTATCCTCACAGATACCACTTCCTTACCCTCTTGCCTAGTATAATGCTTGCAATCTTCAGGACAAGGTCTTCTTGACAATGCATTTGCGTTGCCATAAGATTTCCCGCTACGCTGGGCGGTGCTGGTAGCCGCACTGCCCTCTCGAGATAGATCACCTTCCCTTTCTACACTTTTTTTTATAGAATAAGGGTGACAAACGAGCACACAGTCCACCTTATGGTAAGTGGTTGCTGTGGCCCATAGACATCTACATCTATCTTCGTTTGCGAATTAAAATGCAGATGCGTTGTCAGCTGTGAGGACTAAAATAGAATGCCTCTTTTCCAGTAAAATGGGTCTCCGGTTCTCTACAATCACCATACGAAACACAGCAGCATGAAGCTGCTATTTACGATGGTATTTTGTTAGAGCGTGTTCCTTCCCCGGTCGAGCCGACCCATTCGTGCTACAACTATACATATACTATTAATATAGCTGCAGCATCGCTCTACCACGTAAAATCACTTCGCTTAGGACAGCTGGATCGAAGATGGCCCCTTTCCCCAAAGATGTAGCACCTAGGGCTGTATCTCCTAGCTGTAACCTCCCTGACGCGATGGGAACGATGACTCTGCCGCACGGCTTCCGCCTCCAGTGCATGGGCCAAGGCGTCCTTAAGCGTATCGTGGTGCCCGAGCCTCACAGCAGCTCTGACTAAAAGGTCGCGGATACCGTCAATGAACCAGGTTCCCTTCAATGAGGGTAGGTACATACTGGTATGCTTTTCGAACCAGCTTCTCCACCTCAAGGGCCCACTGCTGCAGGTTTTCGTTGCTGCGTTGCACGCGATTTTTGAGCTGCGTACGAGAGACGTGTTCAAGAAGAGCGTCGCCATATCTCGCCTCCAATGCCTCAAGGAGCTGCTCGTAAGTTACTTACCGAAAGCTTCCAGAACAGTTAAGGTCTGGTTGTGCAGGCCTAGGGTGAGAGTAGTCATGGCCTGACTTTTATTCCAGCCGTTCACCTTCATGACAGCCTTGAACTGGATTTCGTAGGCTGACCAGGAAGAAGTCCTGTCGAACGGGGGCACTTTGGATCCACGTAGCGAAGGTGTTGTAGCTACCACGGGAGCTGTAATTCCATCCCCAAGTTTGAGGTCGTCCAACGTTTTCTTCACATCAGCCATCAAGTTGTTAACCCGATTGTTCACTTCGTCGATTTGGGTTTCAGCTTTCGAAAGGCGGTTGTCATATTGAGCGACCCTATCCTTCACCTCCCTTATCTCTTTCCCGAAGGTAACGTGAAGGTCCTTCATGAGGACCAGCTGCTCTTCTTTATCGCGTTTGAGCTGCTCTTTCAAACGACGGACCTGTTCCTCCTGTCGGCGGGCATGTTCCTCCTGTCGGTGGGCCTGTTCCTCCTGTCGGCGAGCCTACTCCTGCAGCATCATCATCAGCTAAGTCAGATGCTGCAGATGCAGGAGCTGCTGATGGGCTGGCCTCCGTGGTCGGCAGCTCACCTTCCGACGTCTGTGGCGTTGCACCACCAAATCGTCTCTGGAAATCTTCATGACGGAAAAAAAAGAATTTTCATGACGGAAAAATCTAGTCCCCATCCGCCAAAACCAAATCCGTACCGTCCGATAAAGAACTTCGTTCCAAAAATTTCATTGAAACCAGTTCCTTAGTTTAGGAGTTCATCGCGGACAATGTGACACGTAATATTTATATATCAAGATTAACCACTAGTATCGACACGCGTATGTCATGTGCAACCGTTACGCATGCAATTGCAAATGATTAATTGCAATTTTAAATGCTTATTTACCTCAAACTTGGTGTTGAAGACAAACATCGTGAGAAAACATGCATGCAAAAACAGTTGTAAGTACACGTGAACTTTGCGGTAGACTAATTCTTGCCTTTTCACACGGATTTAGCGGCGGCGTGTGCACAGCCATAGGACTTAGATTGGCAGGCTTTACTTTCACTTTACTCTGGATTCTAGATGTATGACAGCTTTCCTTCAGTTAACATTGTTAGTTGTCTTCTGTTCCAAATAAGCTTACCTTTATTCTTAGGGGGGATTTCTGCCATAGCTGCCGCGCTTGGCAAGCTGGTCGGCAACCGCGTCTTATTTTTATTTTTAGTCGTTATTAGAAAGACGCTGCTGCGCATCTCCTGATTTGTTACCATTTACCTTGATTATTATCGTGTAGTAACGGTGTAAGAATATCCACTACCTCTTTATCATCCCTAGGGTTTCGTAAGAGGCGATGGAGAGAAACAAATAACCTCATGCGAAGTTCGTCAACACGCATTGGGACAGCGCAGCGGATATTTCCTTGCCCTAAAAACCCTCTCATAAATGGGAGGAGGCCTATACCCAGCTGTGGGACATATATAGGCTACAGCCTTACAACAAACTTACAAATTTATATGTAAGCTAATATATTTACTGCTTTTTAAATTATTCTCCATTACATTTTAAACACATTTTTATTCGTTAAATTTCTTGTTATAACCGGAGGAAGTAACCGATGTCGAAATCGGCCTCCAAGACAACGCAAATTTTATGAAACCATAAACAATATTTTTGGATATGATCCGTCACGACTTGGCCCAGCTACGTGTTGTAATTTATTGGTAGGTACCTTGTTTAGCTGACCTTATCAGACTTATTGATAATAAACACGCCTTTTGTTTTTGTTATTGCTTATTACATACATATACAAGAATAACCAACTATAATAAAAAGTCTTCCACGAAACGTTATGACCTAAAACTCATGTGCAATTGACGCAATAAGCCCTCAGTCTCAACAATTTCAATTGAATGTCTCAGCAACGAGTCTGTATTTTCCGTTGCAGTAAAGATGTATTATCTTTTAAAGTCCCGCTGGGTTTCTTGCTGGTTCTTCCAAGGACAGTGGTATTTTCCGAACCAGTGGTAGATAAAAAATTACTTTCAATAATAATTATGTAATAATTGATATTGAATAAAAAATTATTCTATTCTATTCTATTCTTATGAATAATGCACATTATGTACACAGACACGCACCTAATGTATAAGTATAAGATTAATTACGCAAAGCCTTAATCAAGGGACACACAATTCTTCACGATTGTCCTCTGTTCTCCGCTGAAACTAACTGGTTCGCATTGCACTCTGTGATATGAAACTTTAGTTTAATTTATGTGTCAGCAACATATTAGACATTTTAAATACAGAAAATATCTACACTTTTTGTTAAGAATAACGCTGAAAAAGTTGTTGACCACGACTTGCAACCCACATGGAAGTTCATACTTTGCGGGGTGAAAGAATTATGAAAGGTTAATAAGTAAAATACTAAAACGCTACCTACTCAATTTTAAGACGCCTTTAAGTCTCGTAGTGTTACAGTCACTTTGACTTAAAATGACAAAGACAGCACGAGACTTAATGGCGTCTCAAAATTGAGTAATATTTGAGAATTTGGACATAAAATTATCATTAAGGTTTTTATTAAGGTTATATTAGTTTATTTCTTTTAAAAAACGTTCTCATGTATTTTTTTTTATAGAATAAGGGTGACAAACGAGCACACAGTCCACCTGATGGTAAGTGGTTGCTGTTGCCCATAGACATGTACTTCTATCTTCGTTTGCGAATTAAATTGCAGATGCGTTGTCAGCCCTGAGAACTAAGATACTCGTAGAATGCCTCTATTCCAGTAAAAAGGGTCTCCGGTTCTGTACATTCACCATACGAAACACATCAGGAGCTGCTATTTTACGCTGATATTTTGTGAGAGCGTGGTCCTTCCCCGGTCCAGCCGATCCATTCGTGCTACAACTACACTATTAATATAGCTGCAGCATGGCTCTACTACGTATAAAAGTAGCAACATAAGTTCTATAAGCGAAGTGTAGGGCGGTCTCCCACTAGACAGAGTGACGACCTGGTAAGAAAGACTTGCAGGAAGTCAATGAACGAAGTTTTGTGGCCGGGGGGGGGGGGGGGGGAATCCAATGTTTAGCAGTAGAGTTGTGAAGGGCTGTAATTAGGGCTTTAAGCCTTTAAACTTTACAACAGCACTATCGCTGTCCAGACTCTTTATGCTTCCATTACGATTATGGAAAAAAATGATTAATTCAGATTTCTTTGTTAAAAAGAGCCTCCCTATTATAATATAGCTGTAACAAGGCTCTGTCACGTACACGTATGTCTTTTAAAATGTCATCATCTTTATAAATAACGACTTTATAAATAACACTTTTATTGTTTTCAAGGGTAAGCCATAGTTTTTAAGCCGCGAAGTTAGCTTACACGTAAGCTCGCCACGTGAAACCTATATTTGACCATATATATTAAAAATTTTTTGCGCCAGTAATTTATCGAAATACAATAAAATAACAAAATCACTTCAAATTGAAAAAAAGAACCTTGCTTCGAATCAATGCAATATGCGGTATAGGTACGTTTAATACCAGACGTTTCGTAATACAGTAAAAAAAATTTACTCTGATGGAATTCCTTTTACGCAGGCACACAGTACGGTACAAGTATAAAATACTTACAAATATACTATAGGACCGATTTCTTGTAAATTTAATTTTTTGTCCAAGCCCTTCAGAAACCGTTCATGGTTAGTAACATTGAAGACGTGCACTCGCATTTTCACCTCATCAGGTGGATCTGCCCACCATTCGTAGGGTGGAAAACCTAAAACAAATCAAAGCCATATTTATATATCAAACATATTTATATATTATTCATCATTCATCATATTATTATACGTCTTTATCTTTTCTTCCCAATCGATAATATCTAAACTTCTCTTTCAGAATGTATTGTGCAAGAAATTTTGCACAATACATTCAAAAATTTTATCACACTATAATATTATTTAATATTATATAATATTATATATTTTCTGTGCGCATTTTGTGCTACTTTGACTTTAGTAATATTACACATCTGTTTTTTTTTAATTTACGAGCGTACATTCAGTTCTATTCTCACCAGAACTTGTTATTTGTAATTTTAAGTGCTGATTTACAACGTGCTTGGTGGTGAAGGAAAACATCGTGAGGAAATCAACAAGACTAAGAAGCAAAATATTTCGAGGACATGTGAAGTCCCATACACACTACAGCAGCGCAGCGAACTTATCGCTCCTTATTTAACATTATCTCATAACCATGACCTTCAAGAAAAGAGTTTACACCTTTTTTAAGGGTCGGCAACGCATGTGCGATTCCCCTGGTGTTGCGGTTGTTCATGGGCGGCGGTAGTCACTTACCATCAGGTGAGCCGCATGCTCGTTTGCTCCCTCTTCTATAAAAAAAAAATGCGAGCCGTGGTAATTCAGGGGCTAAGCCTTCGCTGTAAATTTTGAAGACACGTGAAGTTCGCCAACACGCATTGGGTCCGCGCGGCGGACATTTCCTTGTCTTAAAAACCTCTCAGGAATGATAGGAGGCCCAACAGTAGGACGTATATAGGCTGTAACTTTAACTTTTATACGGTCAAGAGCGTACATTGTGGCAATCTATGAGGGAGGCTTATGTTCAGCGGTGGACTTGTGATGGGCTGTAGTGATAACGATTTGTGATACAGAGATGGTTTCTTTTGATTGTTCCGACAAAGAATCTCGGAGCCTCTTATTACAAATTGCTCCTTTTCACAAAATAAATAATTTTAAAAGAGCTTGAAAAGCTCCAAGGCACACTTGTGGTGGGTGGAAGAAAAAGGGGAGATCTCCCGCCGAGCAAGTTGTTCTGCCCGGGGAGCGGCCAACGCTCCGAGTTGTAGTTCGGAGCTATTCTATATATACTGCTTTAACTTCGGAACTTTGTTAGCGCGATATAGGCTTCGATGTGTTTCGTTATGGCGCGACGACAGCGCCGTCACATCACCCCCCTGCTCAGACCGGAGGTCGATAGTGCAGTCCGATTGCCGGTGCCTCTTTAATGCCGGTGGTGAAAGCATGCTGTGTGAATAAGGGCAAGTGACGCCGGTGCGATCGATATGCCGGTGTGTATTGCATGCCATAGTACGCACTTGCAAGTGATGCCAGTGAGAACGATGAGCCGGAGCAAGTGCCAGGGATTGCCTTGTAGTCTGCGGTAAGTCGAGAAGAAGGCAAGTAATCTGCGAGAGTACCGTGAAGCAGAGGTGAGCAGTAAGGCTCAGAGTCGTGCCGCCCACTGTAGCGTAGAGAGTAGCTTGAAGAAACAGGAAGCATTATTATTCCAATGCTGCCATGAACCTTTGTAAAGCTAGATGGCTTGCAGATAGTGAAGACTGCAGACAATATCTGCTCGGGAGCGAATGAATGGGGTACTTGAGGACGATGACGAAGGTTTGAAGTTGTAGTTTCCGAACGTTGTTGGTTGCGTGTTCAGATCACGTCGGGGTTACCAGTGTGGCGGGTGGAAGGAAAAGGGGAAATTTTCCGCCGGGCAACGTGTTCTGCCCGGGGAGCGGCCAACGCTCCGAGTTGTAGTTCAAAGCTATTCTATATATACTGCTTTAACTTCGGAACTTTGTTAGCGCGATTTAGGCTTCGATGTGTTTCGCTTGTGGCGCGACGACAGCGCCGCCACACACTTATAAAAGTTTGATTTATTTTAAGTTGTGGTGCTGTATAGTGAGCAAACTTGAAAAATTTCCATAACGTACCTGGCCTCATTTTGAGTTTTTCCCAAAGCATGAAATCCAACGGCGTAAATATGAAACCGCTGATCGATACAATGATGAGAAGAACGCCCCACACCGTCTGACCAGCCACATCTGAATAGATAGTAATTACGTAAAAATCGTTGAAGAATAATGTATTAACGGTTTCTCTCATTTCTAAGAGGTGGAGCGTTAAAGGTCGTGCTTTGCTTTCGTGTGATATTTTTAGGATAAAAACCAAAAAATCTCCCAGATTTTTCAAGCTACTGACGCTGAAAAAGTAGATAAGACCCATCTAACATATACCTTCCTAGATAAAAAAAAGAAAGAAAGTGAAGATCGGCACCTGTTGGCTGTTGCTGATATAATTTGATAGGTGCTTTAATATTTTTAACGAAGTTAACAGAAAACATATTTATTGTAATTATTATTTAGACATACTGTTAGAAATGTGAATCAAGGTTTAAGATACAGTTCTTAAAGATTTATTAGCTTATAATATTTTGAATTATTAGTTACTAGCTGTTCCCCGCGACTTCGCCCGCGTGTAATTTAGGATTTTAATTATATTGCTCAGAACCCTAATTCTTTTTCTCTAATATAAGTAGCCTAATTTACTCTTTAGAATATCAGCTATCTGTCAGTAAAAGTCCTGTCGAAATCGGTCCAGCCGTTTCGAAGATTAGCCGGAACAAACAGACAGACAAACAGATAGACAGACAGTCAGACCGACAGACAGAAAAAATTTTAAAAATTGTGTTTTTGTTATAAGTGCCGTATATACTTTCATATGCATTTAGTAAAAAGGCGGTATTTTGACATTACAAATAGACACTTTAATTTAATTTATTTGTATAGATATAGATGTAAAGATATAGATAATAAAAAGCATAGGTGTAAAACATGCGTAATAAGATATCTATACAAATAAATAAAATTGAAGTGTCTGTTTCTAATGTCAAAATTACAGTTTTTTACGAAATACATATGAAAGTATATACGGTACTAATAACAAAACTACAATTTTTAAAAAAATTTTCTGCATGTCGGTCTGACTGTCTGTCTATCTGTTTGTCTGTCTGTTTGTTCCGGCTAACCTCCGAAACGGCTGGCGCGATTTTGACGGGATGTTCACTGGCAGATAGCTGATGTCACAAGGAGTAACTTAGGTTACTTTTATTTTAGAAAAATAATAAGGGTTCCGCGCAAAAAAAAAATTAAAACCCCAAATAACATGCGGGCGAAGTTGCGGGGAACAAGTAGTCATAGCATCTCATATTGTCATATATTACAGAATCGGTAAGCAAACAATTTGAGATATATATTCAACCTAATATTATATTGTCAGGTAAACTTACTTTCATATCTGTGATATTTTACTAGAAATACGGAAAAATGAAAATGGTAATTCATATATGACACCTTTACCCTACCAATCATTTTTATAACATTCATTTTAGAGTCGTGGTAGCTCAGGGGCAAAGTTCTTTCTCAGCACGCGAACAACTCGGGTTCAATCCACGCCGGCACCAATGAAATTGTTAATTGCAATTTTAAGTGCTGATTCGAACTGCTGCCGACTTCAAACAAGGAAGGCTACGGATGCGTTGTCACCTGTGAGGACTAAGATGAAATTCTTCACAGCCTCTAATAATACTGACTCTCTCAACCCGTCATATTGGAACACAGCAGTGTAAGCACAATTTGGTGACAGAATGTAGGTAAGGCTTAGCTACCCGGACGGACTTCTGAGCATAAAAGGAGTCCCGCCTTTGAATAATTATGAGTGAATAATTTAAAAAAAACATGCAGGAAGTCGATGCATGCAACTGGCTCATGACCGTGCTTTGTGTCATTCGTTGGGGGAGGCCTATGTTCAGCAGTGGACTTGTGAAGGGCTGGAATGATGATGATGATGATGATGAAAAACATAAAAGAGGCATGAAACAGTCACTAAGAGTGATGTACGTAAAATAACATTACAAATAATACATTTTGCCTGTTTCGTAAGATGTAATTATCGTGAGCCGCAAAATCAAACTGAATAACGAATTGCACAAGGCACTAAAGCCGCAAAAAAAAACTACACTAATCAGAAATACTCGTAATTATAAAGCCGTAGACACTGTACTAAACTCATGTTCGCGATCTCGTTAAATGTATTTTAAAACTCCTCTAACCATTCTTTTTTTTTTGGAAAAGCTATATAATCTATACATATAATAAAAATGTAAATAGCCGATGTCTGTACATTTTAGATTTATATAATAAAAGTGATTGAGAGGTTCTAAAAATAAGTAATTAAATATACATTTCTACCATTTTTAAAATTTTCTGTCTGTCTGTCTGTTTGTTTGTTAACGTATCACGTATAAAGTACCAATTAAATAAATACTAAATGTATCTTCAGGTTACATTTAGTATTTATTTCATTAAAATTAGTTCATTCCATCAAAAGTTATAATAAATATTCTGAAGCATGGCTACGAAGTATAGGTACGGATTTGTTCAATGGTGGCGTTCGTTGAGTGTTCAAGTACATTTTAAAGTAATATATTATAAATCATAATTAAATGATGTAAAATAATGTTCTATAATTATATCTAAAACGCAGTAAACAACAGTATTACATAAAGAACGTAATAAATATATAAAAAAAACATATTAACCTTATTATCTACATCTAAAGTACAATAGTTAACTCATTTCATCGACAGATGGTGGTGTTGCACAAATGTAATACAAAAAGGAAGGTTGTGGTTTTTTCCTGTAGATGAGTTTTCATATTTGCTGTTAATCTTTATATTACTTGCTGCCCTACTGTGTGTTGACAACCTCATTTATTCTTTACCGCTGAATACTCTACGTGGTAAATCAAATTTCAAAAGAGCTATTAACAATTTCGTTGGTTTCGGCGAGGATAAAACTTTCTTTTTTGCTTACGATGCAGGCCTGATTTAAAAGTTCTTTTATGTTTTATTTTATTTTATCAATCGCGTCAATTAATCTCTTTTATTTTTAGAATTAATTTTAACAGCGCCATCTATCTTTAAATCTCTATACATGCGGTGATAACATGCTGAGTCTGTTTCTGTACATTGTAGGTATAGTATATTAATTTGTGACTAAAATCATTATGGAGACTGAAATTCATTAAATAAGTACATTTTTATAATTTTTAAAATTGTCTGTTTGTCTGTCTGTTTGTTTATGAACGCATCACGTCTTAAGTAAACATCTTTTTTTCAAAGATATCGTTAAGAAAATCATAAAGCGTATCTTACAGTTCATTTAATCTTTGTTTTATTAAAATTGGTTAATTCTATCGAAAGTTATGATTATTATTTTGAAATGTAGGTTCGACTTGTTTAAAGGCGCCATAAAATCTCAAAAATAGTAATAAAATGATTGGTGTGTAAAAAAAAAACGTTCTATTATAATATATTTATACTTAAAACACAGTAAACAAAAAAATATGTTTTCCTTAAATTAAAAAGGATGTTTTCTCACAAAGAACGTAATAGATGGCGTTGTACAAATTACAACTTTTTCTGAATTGTGGTGTTTATATTTTTCACCGATGAATCGTATTGAGACTCACTGAAGTAATTTACGTTAACGAGTCCATTCAAGTTAAAAGAGCCCTGTAGGCTAACAGCACAAACATCGTCGGAAACAGAAACCAGAAAAAAGATACGTACGCCGAAGCTAAACGTTGCAAAATTGCAACAAAAACAAAATGTCATGATGTTGAGTTATACCAAGTATCCATCTTATATCAAATAACTTTCCTTTCAGTTTTAAGCGTGTTCTGTTCCCACTTCCCAGTCGGCGTGTGTTATAATAATAATAATTATTATTATTTATTTGATACAGACAACACAGATCCATTAAAAAATTTAAATTAAATTTTTTTTTTAAACTATACCTTAAATTTTAATAATAATTATTGGTTAATCAATGATATTATTACATTTTATTAATAACATTTTAATAAATTTGACCATCTACTAAAAATTTCACTACGTGCATACATATTACAAATAATTTTGATGAGATTATTCTGCGACCCAAAAACAAAACTTCTAAATCGCGCGATACGGTGACGGATCAACGCATCCAAACCAACGACACGGGCCTCTGCGAACATCTGAGACGCGCTACAGTATCGTGGCTGACGGAACAACACGCGGAACGAATCATTAAACTGCACCTTCAGCCTGCGATATTCCTCTTTAGTGTAATTCGTCCACAGCTGAGGAGTGTAAAGTGGCTGACAGTAAGCTGCAAACAACGCCAGCTTTGAGGTATAAGAACACCTTTGAAAGCGTCTAGCTATCATGTTGGCACGCACTGACAAGGAACGACGCTCGCGGTCCATATCGGAACCATCACACAGATCCTGAGTAACAATGACCGATGACCGTAAATAAAGCGCAATGTTAAACTTTACGCGTTGCAGGAGTGGACCTCAGTACTGACTGTTTTGCACATGGCCAACTCTATGTTGCTTTTTCCCGCGTTAGTAGCTCCCGTAACATTTTTCTGTACGCCCCGATACACGTCGGCTAACGTCGTTTACACATAAGTTCTATCACAAACGGCTCAGAACTTTGAGCATAACGATTTATTTTGTTACCACTTATTCATACAGTAATGATCATCATCATTACAGCCCTTCACAAGTCCACTGCTGAACATAGGCCTCCCCCAAAGAATGCCACAAAGCACGGTCCTGAGCCACCTGCATCCATCGACTTCCTGCATGTCTTACCAGGTCGTCACTCCATCTCGTGGGGGGACGCCCTACACTTCGCCTACCGGTACGAGGCTGCCACTCGAGAACCGATTTCCGAGTTGTCGGTTCTTCGAGCTATATGGCCGGCCCACTGCCACTTCAGCTTACTAATCCGTTGGGCTATGTCGGTTACTCTGGTTCTACTGCGGATATCCTCATTCCTAAGTTTATCACGCAAAGAAACTCCGAGTATAGCCCTCTCCATAGCTCGCTGAGCGACCTTGAGCTTCCTCATACGGCCAGCAGTGAAGGACCACGTCTCAGTTCCGTAAGTCATCACTGGCAACACGCACTGTTTGTAGAATTTCGTTTTAAG